AGCTGTGAGATGAGAATTAAGAAAAGAATCCATGCAGACAATCATAACATTGAGATTTTTGGAAAGTCCCACCCCTAAATTCAATCCTCATTCGGATGTTTTAGGGTGTTCCCGCCATGAGGACTTTTCCTCCCCCTAAACCTCAAGGTTCCTCCAAGTCTGCTGGTACCTCCTTCTTTTATGTTCATGATGCCATTTGGGCTATATAAACGGCACTCCCAGTACAAGCATCAGAAATAGTGAGAATGACTTAAGCATGGCTGTTTCCCACAAAGTAGGCTGCCTTAGATCAAATCAGATTAGCTGGCTGTCTATGGCAGTACTGACCACTCTGACAAGTTGTGGTTCTCCATGACCCCAGGCAGAATTACCGTATTTTTCACTCTATAAGACGCACCAGACCACAAGACCTTCTTGTAGGAGGAAAACAAGAAAAAAAATATTCTGAATCTCAGAAGCCAGAACAGCAAGAGGGATCGCTGCAGCGATCCCTCTTGCTGTTCTGACTTCTGGGATAGCTGTGCAGCCTGCATTCGCTCCATAAGACGCAAACACATTCCCCCTTACTTTTTAGGAGGGAAAAAGTGAGTCTAATAGAGCAAAAAATACGGTATTTCGCCTTACCTGCTATCTGATCCTTTTGACTGGAGATAGGATTTGGGACCTTCTGCACGGTCCTTCTTCCCAATTTCCAGTTTTGTTCTGCAAGCTGCACAGCTCGAAGCATGCACATCATCTCACTCAACAAGGAGAGATTTCCTTTCATAGCTCCCCCCCCCCGACTGTATCACTGATAATAATTGATGCGGTGTAAGAGCAAACCTCCCAAATTTGCAATTTCTAAAACGCTACATGAAAGGAAACAAAACCGTCCTTCGAAATTTGCACGTCTCTGAATTTTGTGGCGCGGTTTTCCAGACAAGTAATGTGTGCAAAAAATGTGTATGTTGCTGAAAAGAACATATAGAATGCATTATATTAGGGGAGATTGCTTGTACAAATGTCAGGCAAAATTACCTACAGAAATGTGTATACTCATAGAATGCTATTGAATGAGGATTTAAAAATAAATAAATAAGCAAAGTGATGCAGAAATGTGGAAAAGAGAACAGAACTTAAGACTGAAAACATGAGAAACTGGGAGAAACGGGAATTGACAAATTTGTCCATCTCAATAATACTAATAATAATAATAATAGTAATAAATTTTATTTATATCCCGCCCTCCCTAGCCGAAGCCGGGCTCAGGGCGGCTAACAACACTAAAACAATGCAACATTATAAAAACATTATAAAAATTAATTAAAATACAAATTGATGGCAACCATAAACTAAAGTTTTGTAAAGATTGCCAAAGGAGGGAGTCAGGCTGCGCCCTGACCAAAGGCCTGGTGGAACAGCTCTGTCTTGCAGGCCCTGCGGAAAGATGTCAAGTCCTGCAGGGCCCTTGTCTCTTGCGACAGAGCGTTCCACCAGGTTGGAGCCGCAACCGAAAAAGCTCTGGCTCTAGTTGAGGCCAGCCTAACCTCTCTGTGGCCTGGGACCTTCAAGATGTTTTTATTTGAAGACCGTAAGTTCCTCTGTGGGGCATACCAGGAGAGGCAGTCCCGTAGGTACGAGGGTCCTAGGCCGTATAGGGCTTTGAAGGTTAAAACCAGCACCTTAAACCTGATCCTGTACTCCACCGGGAGCCAGTGCAGCTGGTATAGCACCGGATGAATGTGATCTCGCAGCGAAGACCCCATAAGGAGTCTCGCTGCGGCATTCTGCACCCGCTGGAGTTTCTGGGTCAGTCTCAAGGGCAGCCCCACGTAGAGCAAGTTACTATAATCCAGTCTGGAGGTGACCGTCGTGTGGATCACAGTGGCTAGGTCAGGGCGAGAGAGGTAAGGAGCCAACTGCTTAGCTTGGCGGAGATGAAAAAATGCCGCCTTTGTTATAACAAACTTTAGGGACGCGGGTGACGCTGTGGGTAAAAGCCTCAGCGCCTAGGGCTTGCCGATCGAAAGGTCGGCGGTTCAAATCCCCGCAGTGGGGTGCACTCCCGTTGCTCGGTCCCAGCGCCTGCCAACCTAGCAGTTCGAAAGCACCCCCGGGTGCAAGTAGATAAATAGGGACCGCTTACCAGCGGGAAGGTAAACGGTGTTTCCGTGTGCTGCGCTGGCTCGCCAGATGCAGCTTCGTCACGCTGGCCACGTGACCCGAAAGTGTCTCCGGACAGCGCTGGCCCCCGGCCTCTTGAGCGAGATGGGCGCACAACCCCAGAGTCTGTCAAGACTGGCCCGTACGGGCAGGGGTACCTTTACCTTTATATAACAAACTTTTATGCTGTCAAGGGTGGGATGAAGTAGGAAGAAGTCCCAAAAGTTTCTCCTATAAAATGTATGATAAGCACTGCAGGAAGCCACCTGATAGGTCTGTTCAGAATTAGAGGTCAGAGAACTGGCTGAATAAATAAATAAGTTTCTGCCTTTCTGGAAACAAAGACTCTCAGATGGGAAAGATGCAAAAGTGTTTGGCCCCTTTAAGCAAACATGCAGTAATTTATCATAAACAGGCATATTTGGAAACTTTAGCAGGTGCTACTTTTGCAAGGGCGATGGGGTTAACTACCAAAGTTGTATGTAACTTGGATCTTGAGTAGAGTAATTAATCAAGAAATTAGATTCCTCTCCTCTTCTCCAGCCCACATGGAGTGCTGCTTGCCGGTATGCCAGACCAAACAACAGCAAAAAGAGGGAAAATATTTGTAATGAAAGCTTATTGAATAAATATGTTGGGTCTGTAAAAATGATTTCTCTGCTGTAAAGCAAAGGGATTCTTTTTTAAAAATCGTTATTAATCAAGTTTTATTATGCAGTGGAAAAAGGGAGGCAACGGCTGGCTAGGATTACAGTCTTATGTCTATTTAAGTGATTTCAAGATGTGGTATGTTTTTACATGCTTTTGTACAATTCAACAAAAACGTTCTTTTCCACCGTGTTGATTTTAAGAAACCGGCGAAAAAGCAGGCAGGCAAGCAAAATACATGAATTGGAAGGATAAATCTGCTACAGCCTTTTAAAATGTTGTTTTACTAAGTTCGTTTATTTGGTCAAATTCTCCTGACTTTGTTATAGGACTGCTCCCAATTAAATGAAAACCACTCTGACATGCAGTAATAATTTAACTCTTGATTTCTGGGGCTTTTTTTGTTTTCTTTTTATTTGTATTTTCTTATTCTTTCTAGAAATAAAAAATCCTAAATCTTACCACACTTCCAACCATTTAAGCATATTATTATTACTGTAATTAAAAAAAGAAAAACTGAAAAAAGAAAATTTGCAAGAGTGTTTCGGGGCCTGATATGGCACTTCTGGGGAATGTAGTGATGCAAGGATCTGGTTGAGCACTATTGGAGATTATGGTTAAACTCCACAGACTTGTGATCTGTGGCAGAATTGCACCCACCCCAATAATTATCGAAAGAACAATTAAACAAAAATATGTCTTATACTTGTTGCCATTCTGAAACTGATTTGTTTTAGCTGAGTTGCAATGATATGTTGCTCACCTGTGTATTATTCAAAACACTGCTGTTTTAAGCCAGTTCTTAATGATTTTTATGACAGTTTTATTTAAGTTGCCTTGCAAGGGCTTGGCCCTAAAAGTCAGCATGGAAATACTGAAGCAAATGAATGAACGCCAGAATAAAATTGAGGGGAAGGGAATAAAAATAGCCCAGATGAAGAATAGATTACTAAAAAGGGTATTTCTGGGTGGGATGATGGTCTGAACTTTGAAAAGTTCTGTATGTGAATTACAAAAAAATGGGTCTAAAATACATCCTTGTCAACAAATTCATGTTAATTATGAAATTGACCTATAATATGGTCCTATTTCCCTCTCAGGGAAAAATATTTTTAATAATAATAATAAATTATTTATATCCTACCCTTCCCAGCCGAAGCCGGGCTCAGAGTGGCTAACAACAATAAAAGTAACACAGTTTACATAAAATCTCAATTAATTGAAATGCATTCTAAAATCAGTTCGTTCTAAAATCAATTCATAGGCACTTTTCATAGATACTGCCTGGTGGGGCCTAAACTCTGTTTTAAAATGTCACGAGAATGGTTTGGTTGCTAAAAATAAGCTGTCTTTTTGCAGGTATATCAGCTTAAGGAAAGGGGCAAGGAGGAGGAGAATATACCAAAGTCGCTTGTAAGCGTGAACGTTATAATTAACAAAGCTGATCATTTTAGTTTCTGACTGACATGTGACATGTGTGCATTCCCCCCCCCCCCGCCACATCCAAAGCATCCAACCAGTCAAGTTGCTTTGAGAGATTGGCGTTTCCGGGACAGAAGTGTAACAATGTCTGCATAAATGTCTGATCTTCTATAACAGGGGTCAGCAAAGCTTTTCAGCAGGGGGCTGGTCCACTGTCCCTCAGACCATGTGGTGGGCCGGACTATATTTTGAAAAGAAAAAAAATGATCGAATTCCTATGCCCCCAAAATAACCCAGAGATGCATTTTAAATAAAAGGGCACATTCTACTCTCGGACCCTCCACAGGCTGGATTGAGAAGGCGATGGGGCCGGATCCAGACCCCGGGCTTTGGTTTGCCTACCCATGCTCTATAACTTTGTCCTTGTTTGCCTTTTTATAGTTTGAGTTTTAATTTTAATAAGCATCTGCAGGTATAATAAGTTTTAGGCTGGCATATGATACACACACTTACAGGGGAATAATAAGTCTTACTGAACGCAGTGGCAGTCTCTTTTAAATAGCATATAGGTTTGCTATATGTAACACTAAAATGTAGATACTTATGGGGGTCTGTTTGCAGTTGTTCCGTTTTCCATATGTTGATCCAAAAGTCAGGATAATACAATGGAAAGGTATGCCTGCCTGTTTGCCAAACCTCTACAAATAACTGTTTCAGTTTTTATTTACTCTTTCTCTGTCGGGAAGTAATAATTAAATTTCTATCTCTCTCCCTTCCCAACCACCCAGTTCCTCACCCACAGAAGCAATTAGCTTACAATGCTTCGAAAGCCGGGGTTGTAAAGTTAACTCAGACGTTGGGGACAGAGTGGATTGATAGAGGAGTGAGAGTGAACTGCATTTCTCCGTAAGTAACATGTAGGGGTTTTTTTGGGGGGGGCAGAAATAAGGCATGAATGTGATGAAGTTCTCAAGTTAAGAAAATGTAAGAAAGCAAAGTTGTTAGCTAGCAAAACTTCAATTCCTTAAATAAGGGGGCAGGAATACTCTCAAGCATAAAACAAATGCCAAGTGCGTAGCAAAAAGTCGTCTCTATTGCTGTATATGTTCTGAGATTTTTGAAAAGATTATGCCATTTGATAACAGGTTTTCTAATTTTGTGAAGGGTGGTTTTTAACATTTCTTTCCCAGGTGAAATATTTCCTTGCTACTGTCCAAGTCGTCTGTGGTAAAAGAAAAGGCATTTGACACGTAACAGACAATATTTCCCCCCCTTCCAGTCCGCCCCTCATCCTTCTTTTTACCTCAGACAAATATACAGGCACTTTAAAAGGCACGTCATTGTACTACTATCACTGAAATTCCATTCGGCGGTAGCAATTACAAGTCACCTTGGTATATTTTTTATTTTTTATGAAATATATTCATTATCAATTGTATTTTACCTAATTTTTGAAGGCTTAAAGGTGGGAATTTCTGAAAAGGAAAAATACAAGACTTTGTGTGTGTGCGTGTGTGTGTGTGCGCACGCACACACACACACACACACACACACACATTTCTCTTCCACACTGAGTACCTGAGCTGTGTGTGCCACACTACGTGCCCTGGGCTCCCTCTAAGCTCCCTCTGTAGCCCTCCAGCATGTTGGAGGACATGTCTTGTCATCAGTGTAAAGTAAAATTCAACTGTGACTCTGGTGGGCTACTAGATATTTTTGGAGTGGGAGGGGCACCATCATCTCCTTTGCCTGAGGCAGGAAAAAAGCCTTGGACTGACCCCCCCAGGGCAGCATCCACTGTCTGTCTTTTATTCTGCCAACATCCCTGTTAGCTAGATTAGGCTTAGAGACTGTGGCTGGTTCTACATATTGGGGGGGGGGGGGCAGCAGGGAGAACCCTGCTATAAATAAGTCAGAAATTAAATGGTTATAACCAGTGCTTTTCCCCCCCTAAAAAAAATGTTTAGGGGTACTCTCATTTTACTCAAGAAAACCACCATTTTATAGTTCGAATTGGGGAAAATAAATACAGTAAATGGACAAAAGTACAAAGATTCACAAAATGTTTAGGGGTATGTGTACCCCTGCGCCCCCCCCAGGAAAAAAAGCACTGGTTATGATGAAAGGGGGGGTGTTCTATGGAAAATCGCATAGGCAAAGTTTTGGGCTCTACAGTGCCATCTGGTGTCGCATGTTTATAACGCGGTTATAGCGTTGTACCATGAGTAATGTAGCTGACTCCACAGGACTGGCTGAAAGTTATCCAGCCAGCTTTGCAGCTGAGTGGGGATTTGAACTTGGGTCTTTTCTGGTCTAAGGCCAAGGCACTGATGATTACACTGCACACTAACTTTCTAATGGACTCCCTGGGCTCCAAAGAGAGCAACTGCACCCAAGCAATGCTCCTGGCCACACACATCTCTTTGCTTCACCAACTTTAAATTGGCAACTACCTTACTTTCTTACGCAGACACACACATTGCAGAAGGCTTGTCTCAGACCCCAGCACAGTAGTTGAAATAACCATTCGGTAAAGCTTCATCCATGGATATTGAGAGGTATTAGTATTATCTTGCAAGTCCCTCACTGCCCCTGAAGTGACGTTTAGACAAATCATGGCTACTTAGACTTACACAACACTGGTATTGCCTTGAATCTAGAACATGTAGAAGTAAAAATAGATGCTAGTTGATTCTGATGAATACCAACCATTGCTACTGAATTTGGGCAAAAAGCAGTAATAATAATAATATGTTATGTTATTGAAAAAATAGAATAAGCAAATGTATAGACTAGCACCATTCAGGCCCCACAGACACACAGTCTCATCGGACACAACAGGATGAGAATATGCAACCTAAACTTTTCATCCTATTCAGTGAGGAAAGGTGTACTTCTCTTTAAAGGGAAGTGGGCTCTTGACTGTGAAATATGAGCAGTGGGACATCAGAGTAAGTGTCAGATATTATAATAATAATAATAATAATAATAATAATAATAATAATTTTATTATTTATACCCTGTCCATCTGGCTGGGTTTTTCCAGCCACTCTGGGCGGCTCCCAACAAAGGACTAAAAACAGAATAAAACTTCAAACATTAAAAACTTCCCTAAAGAGGGCTGCCTTCAGATGTCTTCTAAAAGTCAGATAGTTGTCTATTTCCTTGACATCTGATGGGAGGGTGTTCCACAGGGCGGGCGCCACTACCGAGAAGGCCCTCTGCCTGGTACTACTTCAAAACAAGGCCTGTTTATTTTTTATTGATTTGCCTGCATAGTTTTGGGCCACTTTCCCAACTCAGAGGCCTTCACATCATCTAATACAGTGTACCAGAAACATAATAAACTATGTGATCAAACAATGTAGTCAATATGAATACAAATAATAGCACAAGGAGCTACAGAACAACCCCCTACTTCAAAATATAGCAGTGAGACAGAAAGAATATCTTTTTTTTAAAAAAAAATTATTTTCATTCCCCCCCCAAAAATATTTATTGAATTTTATAACAATTAATGATACAAATCTCATTCATCATGTTATATACAATTATTCTCCCTCCCCTCCTCTGGACTTCCCTCAACTCCCCCTCTGCTGAGTTATTTAGTTTTATTTATCGTTTCCTGCTTTTCCTACACAAAAATAAAATCCCTTATCCTTTCTCTAAAATATCTGTTACTCAAATAAAGTTGTGAAAGTTTATTCAAATCCTTCCAGTGAATCCAGTCCATTCTGTTGTTTCTGCAAATAAACTGTAAATGGTTCCCAGACTCTTTTGAAGTCCTTTTTTGTCCTCTCGTAGTTTGTCTGTTAGCTTAGCCAATTCTGCATAGTTCATCAGCTTTTCTTGCCATTGTTCCTTTGATGGTATTTCTTCCGTCTTCCAATATTGTGCAATCAAGATTCTTGCCGCTGTTGTAGCATACATAAATAATGTCCATTTTTCTTTTGGTACCTCTTGATTTGAGATACCTAACAAAAAGGCTTCAGGGTGTTTGACAAAATTCATTTTAAACATTTTTTTCAATTCATAGTATATCATTTCCCAATATTTCTTAATGCATTTGCATTCCCACCACATTTGTCTACCTGTTAGAGACCCCGCTTGGTCTCTATGAATATATTTCAAATTTACAAACAACCTTCAAGCAAATAAATATTCCCCCCCCCATAAATTCCCATAGACTTCCCCGCTCCCCTTTGTGGGTCCTTATGTTAATTTTTTCTCCTGCATCTTTTCCTGTTAATACAATTGTATTAAATCTCCATTACAACCAAAGTCTAACATTTAACTACAAGCATCATTCCAATCCTACTAATAATTTTAATAGCTTGCAGTGATTTTAAAGGTAAATTATATAGTTTCCCCATTCCTCCTTAAAATGTTGGTCTTCCTGATTCCTAATTCTTCCGGTCAGTTTTGCCATTTCTGCACAGTCCCATCAGCTTAATCTGCCATTCTTCTCTGGTAGGCACTGTGTCTTCTTTCCATCTCTGTGCTAATATTATCCGGATACTAGCAGACAGAAAGAATATTAACTAGGACCAAACATTTGCAAATTTGGGAATTTTCCTATAGGTCAACATGGCCACCTTTATGTGACTTGGAAAAAAAAACAACTGAAGTGAGGTGTTCAACAGCAGAATCCTAAACTAGAGAAGGAGGGTTTTACTTCTGAGGAAACCTTCTCTACAAAGGCTCGGTGAAGCCATCCAGTTTGGCTTCGGACAATTTCTTTTTGGCTTAGCACACCACTTAAAATTAATGTCCACTTTTGCTGATATGAAGACCATCCAGTTTTTCTTGAGTCATGTTTTCCACCTATCTAGGAACCTGCATGTTCCACCTCAGGATGGAGGCGGACTTAGGTGGCAGGGATACCCCATGTACCTGATTTCTCATCACTGGAGTCTCTGACACTCATCAGAAGAGGGGGCAAGGCATTATGGAGGCCGGTGCTGTGCAAGCACACTGGAGGAGCTGAACTACACTCGCACCAGTGCACCAATACACCCTAAGCACCACCATTCCCTCCCAGTAAGTCACAGCAACTCCTCTGTGGGAAAGCTAGTATTGCAGCTCTGCCCCACCAGGTGAACCCCTTATGCCAGCAGAGCCTAGGTGTAACCTGATAAGCACAAAGGTCCAAAAGAACCTCATGGAACGTCTGCGATCTCCTGCTGTTTCCCCACCATCACCATCCCAAGTGCTCTGTTTGCCATCTAGCCTGATAAAGAGACCTGTCAAACTCAAAAGCTTGCACAGTTGTTGCCATCTGGTCTAATAACGGTGTCACCCTAAGATGAGTTTTGGAATTTTACATATGGGCCAACATGCCTACCTGTATTTTTTTTTTAAAAAAAGATTGTTGTGTTCCTGTTGATGGGCCTCCATTATTTACCAGGCAATAAGCACCCTCAGATATGCAGATGACACAACTTTGATGCCAGAAAGTGAGGAAGAATTAAAGAATCTCTTAATGAGGGTGAAAGAGTAGAGCACAAAATATGGTCTGAAGCTCAACAACAAAAAAACTAAGATCATGGCCACTGGTCCCATCACCTCCTGGCAATTAGAATGGGGAAGAAATAGAGGCAGTGAGAGATTTTATTTTCTTGGGCTCCATGATCACTGCAGATGGTGACAGCAGCCACGAAATTAAAAGACGCCTGCTCCTTGGGAGAAAGGCGATGGCAAATCTAGACAACATCTTAAAAAGTAGAGACATCACCTTACCAACAAAGGTCCGTATAGTTAAAGCCATGGTTTTCCCAGTAGTGATGTATGGAAGTGAGAGCTGGACCATAAAGAAGGCTGATCGCCGAAGAATTGATGCTTTTGAATTATGGTGCTGGAGGAGACACTTGAGAGTTCCATGGACTGCAAGAAGATCAAACCTATCC